GCCATATTGGACATCGCAGGTATAGAACATTGTTATTCTGGCAGAAAGTTTAATTGGATAGCTCCAATTACTATCTAGAAAGTACCACAAAGGAGAACACTTTATAGAGTTACGTGATGTAACTGTTATTCAGAGGAAAATTGAAAGCCTTTAATACCTTGCATTATTTACAATAAAAAAAGGCTAAAACTAAGTGCTCAACTTAAGATTTTAGAATAACAAGAAAATAAACCAAAAGAAAAGAAAATTAATTTTTAAAAATGCTGAAAATGAGAAATAAAATACAGAAATACTGAAATTGATTAATAAAAAGTAGAGATTCTGAACAGACTATAACTCTTGAAAAGGAAATAAAAATATTTATTAGCTGCCATGTTGAAATGGTGTTGCAACTGAATTATATTTACATTTAAAAAATAGACTTTGCTTTTATTTATTTTAATAAATGATGGACTGCTTTTAAATGTATTTTTCTGAAGCTAGAGTAATCTTATACCAATACCTGGTAAAGGTAATTTTAAAAAAACAATTTTTAGATGCAGAAAACCTAAATGAGATTTAACTAGTTTAATCATATGCTAGTAAAAGAATAGCATTTTATTGGTCTACAAAGGTAGTTCACAATAGGAAACCTTTAAACAATTTATTGCATCAGCAGATTAAAGGAGAAAAGCTTAGTGGATGCTGAAAAAGCATTTGATAAAATAATTAAAGTACTTAAGTGTAATAAGAATTATGAAAGAAACTACTCCAATTATGGGAATAATCATAGCACCTACTACAGAGAATTGTGAGGATTTAATGACCTAACACATGTAAAAATACTTAGAGCAGTGACCAGCGTGTCAAATTATTCAGCATTAGCTCTTTTTATTATTTAAATATAATAAAGATGATTTAAAAAAAAATTGACAACTATTCCATCTAATGGGAAAACAGTTTGATTAAAATTATGAATGAGACAGTTATTTGTTCTTGTCATTATATTCAGAATTGTTTTTGAGGTTGTTTCATTTCTCTAAATACAGTAAAAGTAGAAAAGCAACATAAATACTAAAAGAGGAGATAAAATATTTTATATTATAAATGGTATGACTTACATACCTGGAAAACCAAAGATACTACTAAAGACTAATAAAATACTCAGAGATAAGTTTAACAAAACAAATCAGTAGCAAGAAAATGAAAAAAAAAAAGATTATATCTTTAAGTTAGAATTTAAGGAAAATCAAATCACGTCTAAATAAAAATTCTCATCCTTTCTGAAATTAACATATGAATTTCATTAATTCCAGTTAGAATCTAAGTGCATTCTTTTACAAAATTGGATAAGATGATTTTAAATTTCATGTGGAAAGTAGATTTCTAAAACTACCCAAGAAAATATACTAATTAATCCTATTTTTGTAACAGTCCCTCTTCGTTCTCCTTGCCATAAATACGTATTTGTGTGAAGAAGATTGAGGAAGAAAACTGTCATGCCATTTGGGTGGCATTTTTTCCCCTTATCTCAGTGTAGGTAATCCATGGAAAGCTAGAAGGCTGATCATATACTGTTTCTTTATATTTACTCTTTCATTAGTTTTAATTGATCTAATGTAGAAAAGATAATAGAAAAAAGTTTAATGACTTTTCACTCATTAAAGTTTTAGTAAATCTGGTTATTAAAGCATAACATTGATTGACTTAGATTTTAAAGAAGTTTCTCAGATTTTTTATACATATTAAAAATGGATATGTGTTCTCTTAGCTTCCTGAATGCTTTCTACAGTGGCAAGATTAATTTTTAACTCAAACATTCTGAAAATAATTTTTTCTGTTTTTTCCCCTCTCTTTCT